TCTGCTATACAAATTACCTATCCCCGTTGCGAATCTAAAAGAAAAAAGAAAATCGATTTCCTGCTTACTTGAGTACGAGGCTAGTGGAGATAGGTGGTGCTGGCTGATCGAATCCTGGCCGTTCAATCTCAATATTGTTCGGGGCCGGCGTCGAACATTCTTCTATTAGCAGAATCAGATTAAGAATTTAATCATGGATTAATGCTAAACACAAAATTATCACTCGAAAGCTACAACTAATTAATCACTAGAGTTGGATATAGTGTTATGTACACAATCTAATTAACTAGCATGCATGCAGTAAACTAAACCTGGTAATTCTTCGGGCACTACGTCGCGCTGCCCGCTCCCCAAGACATTCTTCCTCCTCCTCCTAGGAAAAGAAGCTGATTTCAAGAATCAATCATATTAATTATTACTTTCCCAGTTAAAATAAAAATACTTAAATTAAATTAAATTAGAAAAAAAAAAATCTAGAAGTTTGAATCTACCTTTTGTGTAGAAATCTGAGTGAAATTCATCAGCACCACTTTTTCTGTTAAACCATTTTCGAACGATCATTTTTCGCCACGAGGACTGTCAAAAAAAAAAGCCCATTAATTTCATTAAACGAAAATTTGAACTGATAAATCGAATTTCTTTAAAGTATTAAAACAAAAGGTATACCTTAAGAACTTTTCCTTCTTCACTCATTGATTTGTGTCACAAATGACTCTGAAAACTAACAGCTTCGGTTCCTATTCGAGATATCCATAATAAATAGATGGAATTTTTGTTTTTTTTTTTAAATGTTGTTATCTTTAGATGAAAGTCTATGCAAGCAAGCAAGTGGACATGTTCAGCAATCTTAATTTCAGCTGTGCAAATGAAAAATGTTCGGACATTGTCAAATAATCGTATACTAAAAATCGTTGGAAGATAATATCATCCAACTGAATTGTTCTTAAGTTTGTAATATAAACAAGTGATCAATGGAGGAATACTACTACTATTCAACATTTATATATATATATATATATATATATATATATATATATATATATATATATATATATATATATGCACACACACACAGTCCAACAGAGACAGTCAACTTGGATTGATGAGTATAGAGGTTGAATATATATATGTGTGATATACTATTTTAGTTAATTAATTTAACAGTTGCGTCTAAATAAACACAATGCCGAGTTTATGATAATTAATTAATTAATATAATAGTTGCGTCTAAATAAATACAATGCTGAGTTTAACTGTACAGAATGGGCACACATTTGTCAACTGTGATCCTTCGATAAATTCCCTAAAAGAAAAACACGCTTTTACACACATAGACTATCTACTTGCTAAAAATCCTACCGATTCTCGATTCTCTACGATTCGGAAAATAAGTGCGAACGAGGTTAAAATCAAGAACCAAAACAAATTATACGTCATTTCTGTTACAACAAAATTAAACAATGACGATAAAACGACAGGCTGTGACGGTGAAGTGTGACTGACAAACTAAGTTTAGATGCAGAGTTGCACAGAGAAGAGTGAACTGACAGGTCTGTGGTCCGAAAACCTCGATTCGCCTCTCGTGTAGCTCATTTGTTTCATCCCTTGTCCTTTCCAAAGAATCCTGTCACACCTATATATACATATACCATTTTTTTTATATATAATTCCGTTTAGTTATTCGATAATTGAAAACTCGAAATTTAAGTAAAATAAATCAAATAAAATAATTCGTACCAAGCGGGTGTTCGACGTTTCTCTTTAGGAGTGGATGACATTTGGACAACGTAACAGTCCGAATTAGTTAGGTATTTATAAGTTGGAGCAAAATATATTTCGCCTTCTTCCCACCCTTCGAATACTCGTCCAGCTCTTTGTTCCCTCCTTAACTGCCATTACACGAAAAAAAATTATAAATAAAGAATTTGTAAATACGAAAAACCGATAAAATAAGAATGATATATTTCTTTTTTGATTTTTTTACTTGATCTTGCTCGAGAAGTAGTTGCCAGTCGTTCCTTTGTAGTAACTTGTACGTATCGTCGCTAATGGATGCGAGCCTATAATTCAAGTCCCCCAGCCATATAATCTTGCTGCAATAATTCAAGATCAAATGAAACAACGTTCAGATAAATTAATTAACTAGCCGTGATGAAGTTAACCCCCAACGATTAATGAAAATAAATTAAACTCACTCGTGACTCAAGATACTATCAGGTTGAGTGGAGGAATGATGAGAGAATTTCGTTCTCTTTATAATCTCCGACACGTCCAAATTTCGTCTGATTTCGTCTCCTTCTTTTTCTCCCGATGCCAAATGAGTACACACGAAGCAAAATGTTGTTTGATGCAATTTCATGCTCACTGATATCGATCCCTAAATTGCAAAAATAAATTCAATAATGAAAAATGTTCAAGAAATAAATGCTCATAAATAACAAAAATTATAAATATATTATCCTAGTATTATACCTTATTTCCGAGGTATCCCATTACGCCTGTTCCAACGCACGAAACCTTCAAATTAGTAACATACTGATTTAAATCCTCACGAACCCACACGCACAAAAATATCCCGACCATTTGTTTGCTAGCTGCCAAACAGTACTTATGTGGTTTCAATTTATCGATTTTCGAACTATTAATTTCACCATTTAGCGATTTTCGGATTAAAGAAATCCATTTTGAAGCGGGCCCACAGTCTTCGGGGCCTAACACATTGCCTGGATTTAGAGGTACAATCTCCTGGAACCTGATTCACCAGATCAACTTCAAATGATTATGTAATGCAATCGAGATATAAATCTTATTTTGTACAAGAGAATTTGAAGGACATACCCAAGTACATAAATGTCAGCTGACGATGGTTTCGTTTTTAACCACTCACTTAGGTTCAGACGGTCGTGTGGAGTTTTGCCTGCTACATTCCATGTCCCCACAAACATCCTACGTAAACCAAATTCATTATTCGAAACTCCAAAATAAAAAAATTAAAAAAAATTAATAATACAAGAAAAAGAAAATCCTATTCTTGAAAATCAATCAAATCATCATGCCAAAAAAAGGCAAACTCATTTTCAAATAAATAATAAAAGTTTATGAGATGAACTTTGCATAAAGGACACAAATAAATTTGTAAAAAAGAAATATAAATTCACTTTTGTCATTACCTGAGATTGAGGCTACTAGAGACAGGCTGGTCGAATCCGGGCCGTTCATTTTCATTGTTTGTTTCCATCAACCACTCTTCTGTGACAGAATCATAAATTAATTAACACTTAATTAGAGATTAACAATAAGGCTAAACAGGAAATAATGCTTAAATATATTAGTCATAATCATGTTATATAATATTATAATTTAGGTAAAATTGGTTGGGGGCAGGGGATGGAAGGAAAATTACCTGATAATTCTTCGGGCACGACGGCGCAGTGTCCGTCCCCGGAGAAACTCTTCCTCATCCTCTGACGAAATACTGATTCCACAAATACCAATCCAATTCATATTTTAATTACAAGCAAGAAAAAAATTATTTAAAAAAAAAAAAAAAAGAAGCTACCTTTTGTATCATAATCTAAGTGAAATTTATCTGTGCCACTTTTCATGTTCAACCATTTTCTAACCACCATTTTTGGCCACTGCAATGAAATTAAAAACCTTTGACTTTAGAATTCTTCATCAACAATGAAAGCACCATATTCTTGAAAATACATACATACATACATATTATATATATATATATATATACACATATATATATACATATATATATATGTATAAATGTACCTTGAGATTATTTTTGCCTTCTTCTCTCATTGATATGTGCAACAAGCAAAGTGAAGAGAGCAACAATGGGGTTAGTTCCTCCTGTCTGAAAGATTCATATAAAAAGAAAGGAAATTAAATTAAAATATATTAAATGAGATATTTAATTTGTATATACTTCTTTAATAAAAATGGTTTGATCATTATTAGATTGGTGTGGACGAAAGTGTATGCAAGAAAAACAAGTGGGAGTTTTGAGCGTCTTATTTGTTAGTCGAGAGAATATAAAAACATGGGCATTGACAAATAAGTGTGTCTATCTGTCTGTATAACGACTGCTTTGTCTTCAATTTCTTGTGTATATATATAATATATAACACAATAAATAAATAAGTGAATTATGGAGTGTACGTTCAAGTTTAAAGTTTCAACGCTGAATCAATTAAAAAAGAACCCATTTGCAGGAGAAATGGGGACAGCATCAACAATGATTCTAGACCACAAAAACACACACCCCCACACACGCACAGAGAGAGAGAGAGAGAGAGAGAGAGAGAGAGAGAGAGAGAGAGAGAGAGAGAGAGAGAGAGAGGTTTTATTTATTTTTATTTGCATGAAATAGTATAGATACATGCAGTGATGCACAGATGCATAGGTAAAATACAAAATACAAGAAAAATATAATTGTTTAATGTTATTATTCTTTGTAGTAGATATGAGAGAATATTGAGATCCAATCTTGATCAACAATTAATTAGACTTGTCTTGTTCACAAATACACAAAAAAGAAAGAAAAATGAAAAATAAATGGCATCATATATAGATACAGATATACTTACATGAATGATATATATGAATTACAGAGTGAAATTGATGGAGTTATTACACATGCACATGTAAATATATTTTGTAGTAGTTTGTGATTTGTGAACAGAGGCAGAAAAAAGCTCTGTGGGGGGAGTTACGTTCCTCGGAGGAATCAAAAAAGGCGGCAGAGGCATCTCAATTTATATACACACATGTTCACACAACCATGTGTGTGTCTGTGTGTTGTGTATCAATGTCTGAGAGAGAGACAGTGTGTGTGTGAGAGAGGGAAAATTAAGTTCATGAAGGGGGTATTATGGTCATTGTCACTCGGGTAGGAGAAGGCAAAAGTAAAGGTAACTTCAAGGTCAACGTGTGCAAACATTATTGGTGTTCTTTTTTTCTATTTTCCTTTTTTCTGAAGCTAAAATAAAAAAAACAATTCATTTATGGGAAAAATAAAAAAGAAGAAGATAAAGTCCACTCATTATTTAGTGCTTCAATTACTATATATATTCAAAATATTGTTGAATTTTAATGCCATAATTTCCATAATGGCCTGATTTAGGAAGCTCACTTTTGTTGCTAATGTTGAAGATAATTTCCATAAATTGAAAAAAGATATAAAGTCTACTACATCTTTGTTTATGGAAATTTTGAGCCAGAAAAAAAAAAAAAAAAAAAAAAAAAAAACCGAAATAGTAAATGAAATACTATTTTACGGGACTATGAGATGTAACACCCGGTGTAACTCATCGGGATCTCGAACGCACGTACATATGGATGTGTGTTATTATGTTACATAAAAAATTCAAGATCATCCGCTGTATTTATTTCACCGAGTGAAGCATCTACAGAACCCTATTTCACCCTCAATAACAACAAACTAAAACCATTACCATTAAAAAAATATATATATATATGAAAATGACACAGTGAGAAGGCCAGAGCACAGGTGTCATCTCCATCAAATAAAAATGGAATTAGCACACATCAGTTTTACCCAATTCAACTAGAAAGACTATATAAGACACTTGTCACAGCCACCCCTAATTTTCTATTATTTTTTAATTATTTTTTAATTATTAATTAAAAAAATGGTCGGGACGAAGAGTACTTAAGTGAGCAAAGCATATCAAAGCAAATCTTAAATAGATTTAAATAAAATAAAAATAAGCACGATATATTATACGAGTGATTACGCTAACACCCAAACGTGGCAATCTTGAAACAATTTTCACGTTTGAAAATTTACCCCAATTTAGGGATATATTAAGTGCTTATTAATGACTAAGCACTCAATTATCTGATAAAGTGAACTGAAGACCATATATTGATGCACAAGTGTTATTTTATTTGTTTTCACGTTTCAACGAACCAATGTTATTTATGCCCCCAATAACCGAAACACTGGTAGAAATTATTATTATTATACGTGTATAAATTAGCAACTTCACATAATAGAGATATGGCAAAATTCTTCCATCCCACTATCCTATTTCTGCTGATTTGTTTTGGGTATTATGGCAAAAGAAATAGACCTTTTTTGCAGTAAAAAACTACTAGATAACTGATTTGCATTTAATGTCTGATAAACTGTAAGAAGAAAAAAAAAAACCTTTGAATTTTGTTTCAATAAACAAAAAAAGAAGGTTTAATAATAATAATTTATAAGTATCTTATGAAATTGATTTTATTTTAAATACATATTAGTGGTCATTTGTAACTTCTAAACTTAATTAATTAAACCTCAGACAATAAGGTAAAAAGGTTAAAATTTAACCTTATAGCATGAAAATATGGAACAAGCACCCAAAGGAATTCGAAACTACTGGTTTCTAATCAAACCACTACGAGAGAAATTCCGATGACTCTAAATTAAGCCTCGGTTGGTAACTGCTGTCAAAAGATTGGAGTCAAATATTTGACCAATATGTTCAAAGTGTTATAATCCATTAGTGGTCAGGTCTGATGAGCTAGCCAATGGTTGTGAAGTATTAGTATTTTGGTGATAACATTGAGGTAAATCATGCCTAATTTTAACCAACCCATTAATCATTTAATTAATTTTTAAACATAATCTTAGGGGCCCATTCTGTACTTATCGTTTTTTATAATAACGAAGAATTACGCAGACAACCAAATAGATGCACTGGGTACAATCTCGTATAATAAATTGCAATACGAGAGACGTAAACCACACTAGACTAACTATGTGTAACAAACTCGACCTAGCGACTGTTGATAAAAGGATTCAAACTTGGGTCAATTGACACAAGCATCTTGTACTTAGACCGACTCTGTGATTTTTCAATTCGAACTATTCGTCCTTACTGAAAACTCATAAAATTGAATTATTTCGAAAAAAAATTATTACAGAAAAATGAATAGACTTCTATTATTATTTGATTGAGAAAAAAAAAACCCCAAAATTGATTAGATTTTCAAGCATTATGGCTAGTTGACTTTTAGTGCGGTTAATCAAGCTACAAAACCAAAATGAAATGTAGCCTATAACTCCCTGACAAAAAAAAAAGTCAATGAAACAATACCAACCTCTTCTTTCTGTCACCATTTCAAGACAAAACAAAAAAGTCTTACCTAAGAAATTAGACAACAAAAAAACTATTTAGAAAAATTTGTGGTGTTGATCAACCGTATGGTTGACATTTTTGCAAATTGGCTGGCCAAGATCCTTTAGTGGCTATTAATGCAAGTTATGGTATGCATCAAGTGGTGCACAAAGATGCAATTTTTGCACATATTTTAATTTTTAATTTATCTGAATATATATATATATATATATATATATATATATATATATATATATATATATATATATATATATATATATATATATATATATATATTTTACCACGGCAAGGCGAGCGTGTAACATACCTTATCGGGAACTGCCTTCTTCAACTTCTCTGATACTTATAACTATTGCAGAGAACAAAGAAGAAGGCAGGCAAAAATAAGCAAATGTAATAGGTAAAGCTGATTTCAGCCTTGTGTTTTTATTTAAAAATTACCAAAAGGATTTTTGTTTGACCGGTCAGTGCCGTGGTCTTCTTTCTGCAAGCGGAGTGGGAAATGCATTATGCAAATGGTTAAACGGTAGCGCAGTTATAGTCTTTGATGCTGATAGATACCAGGTAGCGAGTTAGATCTCAATATATAAACTAAGATGCCAAGAAAAAAACAATGTTTTCTTTATTTTTTAATCAAGAAAACGTTGGAAGTTCTTATCACAACCAAATTCTCTATTTCAAATCAAATTACAGGCAGTAATTAAGTAAGAGTCTTCAAACTCCTAGGGAAACACTCTTACGGCTTACCATATTCCTTGAATTACACAAGAATCAGCCGAGCAACATGAAAACTCACCTCAGGGCCAAAATCAAGCGATCAGAGGAAAACGGATCCATGAAACACTAGTTCCGCTGGACCTGTCATGTAGACATGATTGTCTGCTTCTCTCCACTCGATATCCAATGGCCCTCCAGGCAAATCAACGGTACAGATCTGGTTTGCAGAAAACAGATCGAATAAGGAAGAGGTGTGCACATAGGAAACAGAATGAATATAAATAACAATTTTATCCTCAAATTCGTCTAATATCTGAATGCTCACTTATAAGAAATTTAGCACCAAAAAGAACAGTTTTGAACTTACCCTTTCAGCACGACCTTCCAGAACTGCAGCAACGACTACTGCACAAGCTCCTGTTCCACAGGCTAGTGTTGCACCTATAGCAGCAACAAATTTAGTTTTGTAGTTGAAAGACAAAGGCCTAGCCGATTCGGAGAATCTTTTTAGGTGTACAGTAATGCATGCAGAAGCATAAGGTAAAAGCAAACCTGCACCACGCTCCCACACACGCATTTTAAGGTGGCTTGGAGAGAAGACTTGAACAAATTCTGCAAGATCACAACATGGTTTTGTAACGTAGCAAAACTTACGTCTCGGTTGTGAAGTTGTAATTCAGAACCAAAAAAATTGCAATAAAAAAACCAAGTCGAAGACTTCAATTATTATTAAAAAAAATCTCAAGCAATTTTAGAAAAACACTTCCCAATCACAACTAAAGGGATTAAGTCTGATCTCAGGAGGAGTCCAAGCTGGAGCAGACATTGTTTAACATTTAATTCAGAAGTTTATAAGGGTTGAAACCGTTATGCTAAACCCCATGTGCAAGAAGTCGGGAGATAATTGATTTGTATAAATCAGAACTTTTCAGTAAAACATTTTATAGTGGGGATCTTGCACATGGCATACCCAGTTTTTTGTTCTCACGTATCAATTTTCCGTATCAAATTTGAGATCGATAAAATAGAGATGATTTAACTTTGTAAGTGCATTTTTACCAATATTTTACATTCCTAGGCCAAGACAAACTTTCTAGTTATAGAAGCTCGTACACCAATACATGTATCATTGCAAACTAGTATATGTTTAATTAAGAGGTGGATCAGTCAACAAATTAGATTCGACGAGCGACAGTGTGTAATGCCAGTAAAAAATGATACCTGTATTTGTTCGGGCAGGAAACATCAGATGATGTTCAAATTTTGGGCCAATTTCGGATAAATTCAGTTCATCTACCTGCAAATCCTGCATTTTCACAGCCCAGGAGGAAGAATAAATAAACACGCTAGTGCATAAGTAACCCGTGGAATCAGAAAAGTAACTGTAAACAGACAGCATACTTCGCATGATTCTGAACTGAAAATCACACAGTGTGGATTTCCCATGCTAACACAAGTAGCATTCCAGATTGAGCCATCTACATCCAATTTCGCCTTAACAGCAGATTGATCTTTATTCGGAGCTAACTTTGTAGGTACGTCGGATGCCTTCAGAATTGGCTCGCCCATATCAACTCTGACCTGAAATGGTGATCAATGCTGAACAAAGTTGAATATATAGTGATGCAAAAAGTTGTTTCACAGAATAACACGCTGCAAACAAAAAATAAAAACTGCTCGGCGTATTTACCAAACGATGAAATGCCCTTAAAAACTAAAAAGTTATAACTGAATCATGAGGTCTTGGGTGTACCTTCCCATTGTCTTGTAGTTCAGGAACAATTAAACCAGCGCCAGTGTGCACAGTAAAGCTGCAAGACCAAAAAAAAAAAAAGAGATGAAATAGCCTCTCGACTTTTGAGTATAAAAACATAATTCCTCCCTGCACTTTATCTCCATATTTCCATTTAAGCGCACAAGGGAAAATGATAGCGGGACTACAATGACAATCACAATTCAAAAATATAAAAGGATAACCACAAGTTCTAACAATCCATATAATCGGCTGAAGATATATTGAACAGAGCTCAGAAGATGACAATAGAATAGTAATAACAGATATTCCATTCCTACATCCTATGAAAGCAATGATCGGGTCATCTAATGGAAATGAGAGAAACGGCAATATAAATCCTTATACAAGGGTATATTGCAGTGCTGGACCACATATAATGAAGTGCATAATAGAGGACTGAATCAAACCCATGTTTCATTAGATACTACGTACAAGTGCAGAAGTGAAAAGGGCAAAAAAAAACTGTCAAGCGTAATGCATAATTTGTTGATACCATGAGGGTAATGATGATGTCCGTAACTAGAGATCAAAGACAAGTTCAAACTCAAAGTTCAACTTTAGATACAATAAAATTAAAATAATGAGGAAACTCGAACAGACATGCACCTTTTTTTCCCGTGAAGATTTTCCAGCTCAGCTATATATCTGGCAAAGCATCGGACTCCGTTACCACACATCTGTGACAATACAACGGAATTCAACCCCAGATCCAGAAACGCAGATTGTTGGAAAAAAGTCCATCAATAATAATCTAACAATCTAAGACTTGTTCATTTAATTATATAGGAGTCAACAAGTGAAACGAAAAGGACGAAGTAGAAGAACATTGTCATGTTTAAAATTCTTTAAATGAAAATTGAAACGAGAAATTTCTCATGCTCAAACAAAAGGAGCTCCATGAGAAGCAATATCAGAACTAGGTGGACTCTTGCAAAACATCTCCCTTGTCTTCCACTGTAACTGACAGAGACATAATGCATATTACAACTCACTCAGTTTAATCTTTCATTTTCGTGTCCATAATGCAGCCTTCAAAACAATGAATTAGATTTCAACATGAAATCATTTATTCCCACACAAAAAGGGAATTTGATGATAATTAACGACCACATAACATTAACTGCTAGCTAACGGTAAAATAATTACAACCGTCAATCTCTAACAATTGACCAAACAAATCAACACGGACAACACAAAATTACCTCTGGCTCACTACCATCAGAATTAAAGATCCTCATGGTGAAGTCCGTGCCATTGATGCCCGGCAATGCAAATATCACTCCGTCAGCTCCAATGCCAAAGTTTCTATCACACAGTTTCACTGCTTGCTCTGGAGTAATTTTGGGCTCCTCCGAATCTCGATTATCAACCTAATCAAATCAACTTATGCACACAAAAATAAGCAACAATCAAAACTATTTACGTGTCTAGTCAATTGTGTGAACGTGCATATATGTGTCTACTATAGGAGCATAAACAAATGCTAAAATGGGAAAAAACTCCTCGCAGCACAAGTGTTGAGATCTTAGCTTATTTCAACATTAACATGTACATAATTTATTAGTAATTTCATACAGATTCTATTAACTAAATATTGACAATCCATGGATATTTAAATTCATGTATGAGGAAATAACCGACAAAAACCTGATTAAGCTAAATATAAGTGCACAAAAAACTGATTAGCACTGTGTTTTAGTTTCACGATCGTTAAATATAAGCGCAAACAAGTGAGGGTAAATGTAATTTAGAACATTACTAATATGAAGTCATTGCCGAGTCCATGATACTTGACGAAATGAAGAATTCCGCTCTCTGTACGATCTCCAAACGACGTCGCAGAGATCTTCTCCGGAGCCTGAGTGCTAATAGAAGAGCAGACGCGGAAATTAGGTTTCCGGCCAGCGCAAATGGCGATAGGCTTGAAACTCCTCAGCTGCTGAATGGATGAAGAAGAGGACATAAACGATGAGGAGGTGAATGGAAGAGAGCGGCGGTTGACGGATGCATGGGGGAGGAGCGCAATCTCGGCGGCAACGGCCATCGGCGACGGCGGATTATAGGAAATGGATGAAAATTTGACGATTAGGGACCGCCGGAGTCAAACGGCAAGTTTTTTCAGAGTAGGTAGAGTGTACGCAGAATAATTAACAGTTGGCCGCCGTTACTGAAACCCTCACAGATTAATGGGCCATCGAAAACATGGGCCATGAGTTGATTAACATTGAAATTTGTTGGACCGAATTGAAATATTGTTTATATAGTATAAATGTTGCTAAAACTTTTTTAAGACCAACTAGTCACCTTATTATTGATGGGGAAAAGGTAAGCTAAAAGAACTTGATTATGATGTGTCAATTAATATAAGTTAGAAGAAAATATATATAAGTGATTGTTTGATATAATTGAATTATATAATTTTAGTTTTACATAGTGAAATATTTGTTAAGATAGCATCGCCCACGCACACGTTAAGAAGCAGATTTTTGAATGAAGCTCAATAATCCTGATATAAATCATAAATAATTTGTGCATCAGTTCCTAGTTTCACATGGGTCGTTCCATCTGTGATCCACGTCAGCTTATAACCATCTCTTCCATTAGTACTAGTACTACACCCGTGCGATGCACGGGGTATTCATCATAAATAAAATATTGAGTAATAAAAAGGTTCTCAAAATAGTAAGATCAATTGTTGATATGTAATACAAAGAAGTAGAAAATATTAAAAAAAAAACTAATTTGTATGGTATAAGAGATGAAATAAGCCGGAATGAATGAAAAATCTAAATTTTGAAAGTTTTAATTTCCTCGCAATAAGAACGAATATATCGTTGGTCCCAAACTTGTACAACCATAATGACATATGAACGTTGAAATTTTGAATTTGATCCAAACAATCAATGTTATTTTGTTTCATACCAACCGCCCTAAACGCATGCAACAAATTCAATACAATGCAACTGATCTGCATATGTTGTACATGATCGTACGAAAATAGGTAAATTGTTATCAAATGAATACCAATATAACTGTTTAATGGCATAAAATCACTGTAAAAAAATTACCTTCATAAAATATAGTGAGCGGAGCCCATAGCAAGTTCGTAGTATAATTAAAATAAACCTACAAATGAGTAATATTAATAACTTGAAGCCTTGTTCCATTGCACAATCCTCTGACCTGATCAATATTTCTGATGAGCATAACGGGAACACTTTTTTTCAATGTCAACTTATGTGGTGGAATTCCGGTGCATGATATGGTGTTGAGAAACTCCGGAGAATATATTTTTGCGTTAACATCCGATAATAACTCCTCCTTGCACATACTATCAGAGCTGAAATAGACCTTCTCCTCTCCAGGTATGATCGACAAAAAAATATTATTCACAAAACTGACACTTTCATTAATGGGAGCAAAAAAGATATATCAGTTGACCCAATTGTTACAATTATCTCATCTGATGCACTCGGATCATTAACATGAAACTTAGTTATCAAAAAGTGTTTTATAACAGATGCATTGACATCACCTATAACTTATCTAATACATTGAGAGTAACCTGCTCATTTTTTGTTATTCATATGCAATCTGTAATACGCATTACTGAAACATAAATGATAACATAAAAGTGTAAGAAAAAAAATACAATTTATATTATATTATCTTGATAAAAAGGAAACTTCATTGGAGTTGACAATAAAATTGATATAA